ACAGTTTCGTTCACCGATGATTGGGGGGTAAGTAGCTGCGCATTGCACGCGCGAGCTGGTAAATTGGTGCATAAATCCAGCACTGTCAGTGAGTTGTCAAGCGGGGGGGGGGGGGGGGGGGAAAAGAAGCAGACAGACTGCTACACTCTGTTACACGTTAAAGATAGTGCATCTCAGGAGCGAACCACGTGATATTTTGCCCCTGGATTACGTTAGTGTCAAGGGCTGTCAAATGAAATGGTATGTTTACCGGGCTCATATGGGTAGCGACATGGTCCGAAAATTCCCAAGTATATATAAATACTAAAGACTTACAGATGTCGCCAAATATGGATTTCGACTGCTGCCATTATTTTCCACAAGGGCTTACAGAATACCGGAGAAGGTCCATCGAATCGACATTCTCACTTAAAGCCTAACAACTTTGACATTCATTCGTGCTATTAACTACCAGGATTGGACAAGGTTCACTTTTATCTCACCCTCTCAGCTGTTTCTACGGTTAAAAAAACGTATTGTGGTCATCATGCTAGGGCTCTTCTGAAAAGAAGCTAATGCTGGCAGTTCTGAAATCAACTAGCAGTGACCAGACGAGGTGAATTCACCGGACTCAGTCTGGAGGTAACTATTCGTCCGTTGTTCGTCTTACATATATGGGCGAGTGAATCAGGTGAACGGTAATCAAAAGTCGTGAGACTCGACGACAGTTATAAAACTTGCAGTCGAGTAAACCAACGAAGTGATGAATTGGGCAAATTCAATGTTTCATGGGCTGGAAGGTGGTTCTTATATGAAAATACCCGTTTCAATTATTCAGCTTTGAACCATCCATGAAAGGTACATCCCATCAGCTACAGCTACATTCAATGAAAATGGGAAGATTAGGAAAGCAACGCTTGGGCATTGCGGTATTGTTTTCATCGTATAGCGAAGAAACTCAATGGTTACGCGTCGGAAGCGCAAATGACCACTTGATCCATGTCTGTCAGATTCATCAATAACAAAACACTGAACGGTAGCCACGGTTAGCAACATCAGACAGCAATTCGATCACCAAACTTTGGACCTGACCACATCTTCAATAGAACAGCGTCACAAATACATCTAGCCCATAACAGTAGCCCTATCTCACTTCAAAGAAACGTTCGACTCTGTGAAGAACACTCTTGAAGTTTTTTAAAGTTCCATGTGCTCCTTTTTCACATAGTTACGGTCATGCTAGGATGTACAGAGAAGAGCCCAACAGTTTAACCAAACAGAGTTCCTCGCGTTGCTCACTCACCTCTTTTCCGAGCAGTTTAGTTACTGTCTCCAACAGTAAGTGTACTCTAGTATAGGTGGTGAATTTGGGTATTTAAGTCAACCTAGAGAAAGATTAGCTGTTTTAAATTATGCGGAAGATATTTTGTTAGTTGAATAACGAACAACCGTAAAAATCAAGTGTGGACCCGGTTTTAGCATGAATTTTGCAACTTCGATGTGCTTTAGCTTGGTGGTCAGCTGTACAGGCCATTGTTGCACTATAAGGGATCATGTCAATGCACACATCATCGAGATACGAGCTACATTCGCCAGCTTGCATCATTTTTGGAGGCATAAAGGGCGTTTAATGAAGCTAGTGGGTCGTGTCTACAGAACAACTGTCAGAGTCGTATGGCCGTGGAAGTTCACGCTTCCTGTTCAGGCGTATCGAAACATTCGGTCGCCGACGTCTTTGTAACATAGCATTTGTTAAATGGATGCAACACATCCTTGCAGAAGCAGTTCGTGAGCCGATACTACGTAGTCAGCTCGAGATAGCTCAACGATGAAGGCGCAAACTTACTGCACTTGAAAGGGTCCTGTTGAGGATTGAACAACACGGCTGTATCCTAGTTCTCGTGCTTTCTTCAGGTGGCGTGGCATCTGCGCCCCGAAACGATGTTGCAGCTGAACGATTGTATTATTATTGTTAAGTCATGAATCTGAGTTCATACAGCAGCAGACAAGGATCGCCAAGTGAAGATGGTTGAGACATGTGCCATATGTACGCAGCCATCAACTGCCTGACACAGCATAATGACTGTCAAAAACCCAGGTTGTCGGAAAGTTCGTGCGGGACAGGTCACGAAACGACAACGCGAGAGGAAAGTGGCTACTGTTAAGTTGACTTCTATGGAATCTTCGCAGATTTCCGGCTTAAAGTCAAGTGAACCTCACTGCATTTGGCTGGCACACAGCCGGACTACCTGACCACCATTTGTCTATCATCGTGCGTCAGGCATGTTTGGATTGAAATAGGGAACTAAGCCCGCTGAAACTGTCCTAATAACATTCCATGCTCAGGTGCTCTCAGTAAATGCAAACAACTTGCTCATGATCATTTTGCCTAAGGACAGACAGCTTCATGCAGATATTCTGCACCCTTCTTTTCCACGCTCCGTAAGAACTTCTTTCTCTGCAGTATCTGTTCCCAGATATTGCCGTTCACGAAAATGATGACGATGAAGAACAGAGTTGCGAGGGGTGGTAACTGTTCTGATATCAGCTGGCGTATCTATGATAGGTGGTAGGCAGCGACAAATGGAGGTAAAACCAAATGTTTATCACACCGGACTCGAAAAGGGATACGAAAATAAACCTGACTTTAAATAACAGCCGGAGGATCATGTGCTGAATTGAATATGACTGAGTGACGCCCAGCGCCAACTTGACGAGCGAGAACCGACTGGATTAAAAGTCAAGTTGTTAGAATACATACTGGTAACTCGCTTCTGGAACTGCGCTGAAAAGGCAGATACAGGGAATGTTTTTATTCAGGCCTACAAAGAGGGTGGTAATGGTACGCTAATCAGACGCACGACTTTCAGGAATATTGCGATAGTACGGTGTACGAGCAGTCATGAAAGCGGAAAAAAGAACAGTATTGATTACCAGAAGAGCCACGCCTTCCAGAAGGATGTCCATGCGACCCTACCCCGCCATATCTTGATTACCGACAGCTTCTTGCTGCCTGTGTATTTCCAGCCAGACTGCCTAAGCGTGTGGAAATGCTTGTAAAAACCTGCCCTGAGCCCCTTCTCTGGCTCAGCGTTCTCTTCAGTATAAAGATCTGCCTGAATAAATTTAGACCATTGTGCGACAAGCTGCGGAATTTTACACTGGCGTCACTCTGAGAAGACCGATCAGTGACCGGTTGTCACAAAACAAACGGTCAATATGGAAAAATTGTTTCAAAAGGATCACTGAGGAAATGTAGCATTTCCCAGAGCTCATCGGTAGGGAACAGGTAAAGAGAGAGGCGTCACTGAAGAAGACTACAAAGGACTTCACAGGACACCCGCAAACATCAAGTAGACGGATAAAGTGCGTATGGACAGTGCGTATAAAGTGAGCTTCACCGATGAGGAACAAGATGGTGTCTCGGCTTCCAACTACCTAATACAGTTATCATTTTTCAAAGGGAACATAGAATCGCTCTTGTAAGAAGGCTACTGCGGTGAATAGGAGATTCAAAGGACTAAACAAATGTGCTAACTCCTAAAGGGCTTTCTCTCCTGAGGTTTATTCCCCAAAGATAGGAACAAATGTACAACAAATTTATCGTTGGTTGTGATTCTAAAGTCGGGCGAGTCATCCTAAAAGTATCGAGAAATGGAGCCAGTAAAACAGACCTGTTCAGCTATAAGTCGCCATCCATAGGAGTCATCCGATCGGTCAAACTCGAACGTTTCACCCCATAGTGGATTGAACGGTTTCCCTGTACGGATCGCAGTGGTGGCATAGCAGCTAACAGAAAAAGCGGCCACCCACGCCATTTGTTCGACAGGATCCTTAGTTTCGCTGGCTCGGTCGAGAAGTTCCGAGTACGTGAGATCTTCGCTTGCACGTTGGAGGAAAGAGATGGGTTCATTGAAGTTAACCTGATTAGAGTAAAAGTAAGAGTAAATTTCTGGTTATAAGAAAGCACGGAGGTTATGGTTGTGTAAGAACGTTCCGTGGTGAATAAGCCGGATATGAAACAGGAAAACCACATAAAACGACAGGACCAGGACAGCAACTGGATATGCAAGCGAAGCTTTATTCTACACCTATCACGGAAGCGTTGTAGAATTATCGCCTAAATACCACCCGACAACCGGTACTCAAACCGGACAGACCTGAACGCAATCAGTTATCTGGACTTATCAGCATCGGGCAAAATATTTCTACTTAAACTTCGTGGGCAGTGCCCTTGGGACGATTATTCCTGTCAGCAAATATCAGTGTTAGAGTTCCTCTTTTAGTCGAGTTTATCAATGGTGCGTAATATCGGTCATACTGGGGGAGTGAACTCCGATTGTCTCTGTCTGTATTAAGATCACACTTATGTACATGACTCTGTTTAGAGATCCAACGAATAACATCCGTAGATGAAACGGCAGAAATCTAGCACTCAGGTAGCAAAAATAGGATGGTAGTAAACACTGAGATTCTTGACCAAAATATTCGATTTTTAGTGCACGAACATTTGATCAAGTACACTACTGAACGGTCATAAGAGGTATTCAGTCAGTGCTAAAAATAAAACAATAGTCAAACAGTAGGATTCTTTTCGTATAATTATAATAGTTATTAGACAACTGGGAGAAAGCAGGAAGACTAAACTTGAGGATTCTGAATTAGCCTTCCTCTCCCTCGCGCATCCGTCTGTTGACTTGTAGGTGAGAATTTTGAGCTGTAGGTTCGATGTGAGGTACCTGTAACAGACCGCTTGCCTCAGCATGGGCAGCCAAGAGCTGTCAATTGCTCCTGCATTCACCAACACTTACTGATAATCTATCTATCTCTAAATCAACCTCTTCATAAATTAAAAGCCCCCCCCCCATTGTCTATACTACCTTTCACAAAAACAAAAGTAGCACTGTCATTGATCCAGAAGATCTGCAGCCTTCAGTACCCGCAGTCAATGTCATACTCGGCAGACGACATCCCCTGCTGAGACGTTAATTGCACATTTCGCTACCACACGCTGTTTCCAAAACACAGGACTTCAGTCCGGTCGTTGATCTCGAGCGGTTTAGGACAATCCCGGATATTCCACACTGCCCTCACTGGATATCCGGTTAATACGGTGCGGCATCCGAGCATGGAAGCTGCATCCTGTCCCAGAGCTGAAAGGGTTTCACTGGAATGAAATCCAATAAATTGGTCGCCAGCGTGCTGTTCAGTTGACTGGCTCAATTAAGACGATGTGAAATAACGCCCGCAGGTGCCATGGCAGACTGGATTCCAGAAGCTATGTTTTCTACAAGAATTTGTCACAGTTGATTTGGTCGGCGAACGGCTCCGACAAATCTGATATGGTCGGTTAATTTGAATGTTAGGGTCGATCAAATCCTGCGGAATCACACTGACTTGGTGGCAGTGCTCACCCCGCACACTCACACGACTGAGCGGAAAGCGATCTCAGAGGAAAGCGGTCTTCTGACGTGTGAATTAGGTGCCCTAATCGGCCAAAACTAAATCGGCATAATAGGTAATAGTCAGCCAAATACCGTTCAAATTCGATGAAGATTCAGTATGATAGGCAGCTAACCTAATAAAATCAACAAATTCAACAACAAATCAACACACTTCCAGATGGTATAATGGTCCCTATTCTCTGGGTCCACTTTACATTCTTTGTAATTCCCGTGACCGCAATAAACAATAAGAACAGAACGGCGGATAAAGTTTGCGCGGCTGAACCAGCCGGAATGTAGTCAGCACACACTTAGTGGTATTCAACAATACTTCAGATATTGATTTCGGCGCACTATATTGATTTCTATTCGAAGGGATGTGTGAGTATATTGAAAACAGATTTCGTTGTAAATACTAGTTACTTTTCATGATCTTTACCCAAAAAATATTTCACGGAGAAGCCAACTAGTCACATAATGAATCAGATGTATCGACCCAAGACTGAAGAGAAAGCGGAGTATATTGACTGTTGGTAAACAATGTTTGGAGAAGTCTTACTGAGGAGGACCTTCCACAGAGACAGTTAGTTGGAATACCAAAAAGCAAAAGGAACAGGGGATCTGCTGACACCCACCTATGTGAGGCAATGTTCAACAGGTTGCTTGATTGATCAAAGTGAAACAGCCACAGCTGAGGGTTGAAACACAAGTCGGCTAGTTAGGCAATGGGAGAGGTGTGTTGTTAAAGCCTGGCCGCCGTTTGGATTGTCCCGCTTCTGACGAATAACGGAGCCATTTCTAACACTGCTTTGCCAATAACAGACGCACGTGCTGCACAAATAATCCACTTTTATTCGCAGCAAACTCAGCTGGTGTGTAAGTGTTGAGACAACCTGGTTAGGGGACGAGATACAGCAAAATTGGGTCGCGTTGGGTTGTGTACTGCACATCGAAGTCAATTCCATTCGTATCTCCTCACTGATAAGCCTGCAAGGTTGACACAAAACCGCTTTCCATACGCTCGCCAGTACTGCCCCATCCGTTCGACTCAACTCAACTCAACTGCTTTATCTGCATCGGTCTCTGGGTAAACCGATATAGAATTCTTGAGCACTTTAAAGAGATTGCAGTCGACATAATCTGCTGCTACATGCATAAGAGAACATAGTGTTTGGATCTTTGAAGTCACTGTATTTCATGGCTGACAGTGAGAGAAATAATGAACGCGGAGTATGTGGGTAAATCCCAAACGGCTTAGAAACAGTGCAGCGACGGTTGCACTTTCGGAGCATTTTTTTAACTCCGTGATGTTGAAATCTATTGCTACTGGCCCTTCATAACTGTCTATAACTACTGATTACTTCCTGCCTTGTACGATTGGCGTCGATGGATTGGTGTCCCATCTTGCTTAGACCCAGTTATGAAATGAGCATCACGGTTATCGATAGCACGGCTAACCTGCAAACAGAAAGCCCCATCAACTGCTGTCGGACCGTTAACCAGCAGCTTGTGGACTGTTGATCGCGCTTGTTAGTCGCGTGCCATGCGCGCAATTAACTGCAATGCCCAGACTATTGGCTTAGAAATAATTTAGTGCAGGCCACAGCTATGAGATTCGAGTTGCTGTGCCAGGCCCGAAGGGCTAAATAAGACCACCGGAGAACGTCCTAATAAGACTATACCATGATCTCAGCTGAATTCCAAAACAGCCAGCAGTGAAGCTTGAGCAGGGTTCATGGATGGCTGAGTGCTTTCGGACCGCGAAAGCTGCAACCACCTAACCAAGCACTCTATCGAACGGACAATATTTTGGCCATTTCGCTACGGAGAAACGGTTTGATGATGCACTCCGGTGCACCATTCTGGACAAAATCGTTGTATAAAGTTTAGGCCCACTCGCTTTCGCTATCCAGTTGTTGCACGAAGTACTACGGTATTAATGTAGAGGCGCACCAACTAAACGTTTCTACTGTAATTTGGATAGTCTATGGAAGCTGTGTTAGCGAATAGCTTAGGACTGATACTCGAATTCGAAAAAAACTCGTTCATTTGATATTCAGAATCCACAAAAAACTGACTACATCGTTCTCTATTAATAACATCGACGTGCGAAGATGAGTGAATGGGTTTAGCAGTGGCAAAAATGTCGACAATCCAAAATGAGATGAGCCAAAGTATCACTAATGAAATGGTTTAAGGCTTCAGTCTTCCACAAAGGGACCCTGTTTTCATGACGCTACCTCGAAGATGTGCAGCACGTGACAACCAATAAAGGGCACTGAACTACAATATGGCAGTTCTTATCCCAACAAATCAGAAGTCGTGTATCCAAACATCCGTTATCAGTCCGAGATGTAAACATAAGACAAATTGGGTGAACTACTAATTATTTGTACACTAATTACCTTGTTAGTAAGAAAAATACCGAACAATAATTAGTCATTAGGTCCCTTTGGAAGCTTGCTTCACAAGCAGACACTATTAGCTATGTGAAGTGGCCGAAATGTCCAGTCAGCAAACACGTAATGTTTGAAGTGTCGAGATCCGTTACTAACAGAAGAGCCTGTCGACAGAGGCTACGGATCTTAAAATCGGTTTTGCTGACCACAACTAGGCTCGAAATGCTCGTTCGGCCCCTGGAAGGCGTCCGGGATTCAGATGCACAACCAAGAACACTAGGAACATCTGGAACCGAAACCGCCCCGCAGAAACATCCCTGCGAAAAATCTAAAGTTACTGTTATCCGGGAGGCGTTTCCGAGGAACAGATCAAAGAATGAGGCAAAGTAGGAGAGTCTCGCAAGTCCCATCAGTTGAATGAAGTCATGAGGATGAAATAAAGGATAGTGGGTGATATGAAAACCTAATTTATTGTACTTAACTGATATAGTTCATCATTGAAACCTAGCATTTCACAGCACTAACTGAAAAGTTGAAAAAAACCACAGCCTTGGAATTTTCGTGGTTGAGGTGCAGTGCACAGTCACATGACTACACACAAAAATTCACAGGTGTCGAAAGCAACAGATGTAAATAATTCTAAAAATTCACAGTCAGTGCGCGTCAAGCACTTTATCCATTGCGACTGGATAGGGGATTCATGGTTGAAGAGAATAGTTGAGGCATCGCTAAGATCTTTCTTATGAATTTGGTGATATCACCTGGACAACCAAAGGTTTTCCAGCAACGGCATTTTGAATAACATTCGAAATGAAAAGTGAGGCAACCTTTGTGCTGAATTTGTGGAATATAACAGAGTTTTCTGTTAATAATACCTCAAGTTGAAAATAAGCACTGAACTCTGCGATGTTCAAACCGTTTTAAAATGCCCTTCAGCAGCCTGCTGCGAAAAGACGTTGGGCTGAACCCATTTGTAGAATGGGCGAAAAAGCTACATGTCAAACGCCCGACGAAACGGGTGACAGGAGTGGGACGGAATTCAGAGCTTGACAGTTTGGAAAAGTGGATAAGTTGTTGTAC